ATGATTGCTCTGTCACAGAGACACGAAAGGGAGATACGCATTCAAAGAGGGGATTTCAGAATTTTTCATGAATTTTGATCTCTGTTATCATGTTATCTAATCACACAGATGTCTTCCTTCTTTTACTTTGTATTAGTTACATTACATTAGTTACTTTACATTCTGAGACGTAGGAAAATATTTTCCCTTTTGGAATTCTCTTGGCTTAGGAAGCAAGTAAATTTCCTAACGCATCTTCTCAAGCCTGCTAGTCCCACTATAAATTCAAAGCAAAATATTTAAGTCAAACTTCAATATGAATGTAAATGTACATATTTAAGACAAAAATAGTTACACCTTCCCGACAGAGAAGTGAAGTAGAAAGTATACGCAACAAGAACCAAATTCCTGCTTAATGTGAGTTGAAGCGTGTGTGGACTGTTGCAGACATACAAAAAGAATTAGTGGAGTGTACTTAATAAATCAAAAAAACGTTTTCCCTAAAATTTCAGGGTTCGTGTTTTGTTTAGTTACACCTTAATACCTTGCAGCTACGTTTGCTCTTTTTACAGACTCAAGCCTCTGCATTACCCAGAATGATGACGTCTGTTGTATTCTTAGGGAGGTTACTAACGGGAACGGTCTGTGTGTGGACTTATTTCATCTAGTTGATGTGCTAATGAATTTTAGGGGAACAATTGTATTTTATTGAATTAGTTACATTTATGTAACTGGAATTGCTGTCATTTTCTCCAGTATAAAGCCTTAATTCCCTGGTTCAAATTGCTCAAAATAGGTTGCCATTGAATGCTGTCAAATAAGTACCAAAATGAGTTTTGCAGTCACAGACTATCCTGGTGCCCTTATTTAATGCAATCACTTTGAACATTAAACCAGATGGGCTCCTTATCTTCTCTCTTCAACATGCCTCATAGTTAAGGAAAATTAGCATTTATCTAGAATAAGAATGCTTTATTCTTTCTCAACTCAGAACTTGTACTCTGCCTCTTTGATCAGAATTAGCTCTGCTCTCCTGGTTTGTAGATTTCCAGTCTTATGAATTCATAGGTTGTCATTTTATTTTTAAGAACAAGCTATGGGGGCCAGCCCGGTGGCACAAGCAGTGAACTGCGCACGTTCTGCTGCAGCGGCCCGAGGTTCACTGGTTCGGATCCCAGGCGCGCACCGATGTACTGCTTGTCAAGCCATGCTGTGGCGGTGTCCCACATAAAGTGGAGGAAGATGAGGCACCAATGTTAGCCCAGGGCCAGTCTTCCTCAGCAAAAAAAAAAAAAAAAAAAGAGGAGGATTCGCAGGTGTTAGCACAGGGCTGATCTTCCTCACACACACAAAAAAAGAACAAGCTATATACCCTTTAGATTACATTAGGATAAAATTGGCTTTGCTAGTTATTGTCAAAAGGAAATGGAAAAGATTAGAAATTAAGTCTAGTTTAGTAGATATTTAGCAAACATCTAATATATGCTCATTGTTGTGAGGGAAAAAGAACTATAAGAAACGGTTTTGCTTATTTCACTCAAAACTGACATGAGTCAGTTCAAATTAACGGTGCAAACTTTAAGTGGTATATTGGACATTTCATCTTCTATCTTATCTACCGGGAGAATTATCAACATAAAAAGGTTGCACTTTGGTTCATTCACACAACAAATGCTTGGTAAGCACTTACCATATGTAATGGAATATAATTGTGAACAACCCAGAGGCAGGCCCCGCCTGCACGATGCTGGGAAAATCATAGAAAAGGACTGTATAGGGATCAGAGTCTTCTACTAAAAGGCAATTTCTGAGATTTCCAAAAGTGATGACTAATGTGGTACCCTTTTCCTCCATGCTCTAAAGAACCCCAGGGGGAGACCTGTGGTCACAGGCATGCTGTCTTGTCTGCGTTGCTCAGTGAGAGAAACATGACTGATTTCCAGGCTTCAGCGGGCATTCGACACCACATTTGTCAAACTCTGCCATTCAAATTCTCACCTTTTGCTCGAAAGAAAAACATACTTGGCTTGTTAAATCTACGCAAAAATGAGATTGTGGTTAAAACATTGTAAAACTTACGCTGTTCCTCAGGGCACATGATTTTCTTCATAAGTTAAAAAACGTGCTGGTGTGGCCAGGGAGAACTTATATTAAATCAATACCCTACTGTTCAGCTAAGTGCTACAGAATGAGTATACTATAAAATATTTCAAATCTTCAAGGAAAAATAATTTGAATTGATAAAACCAGTGGAATTTCCTTGCATGTGGTCGCTTTCTTGAATATTGTATATATAAATACACACAAAAAAGATGTGCATATCCTCAGAGAATCTTTCTACACGTCAGGCATTGAAGATCTTATTCTGTGCCAGTTACTTTACATAGGTTCTCTAAGCATTAATTCAAGCATTATGGCAACCCTTAAGATAGGGACTATCATTAGTGAGATTTTGCAGATAAGAAAATTGATGCTTAAAGAAGTAAAATAACTTATGAAATTTCATAGAACTATTAAGCGACAAGTCCTGATTTTTAAATCAGATCTGCCTGATTCCAAAACATCTTTTAAACCATCCTGGTATACGGTTTAAAGTGTTTGTTTTTTTCTCTTTGAAAAGTGCTTTATTTCGACAAGATCTAAGTCAGGTGCGTTAAAACATATCAAAATGTTACAGAAATTAACAGCTCCCTACTGAGGCCTTGTCAAATTACGTTAAGATAACTAAACGCATCAGTTTATAAGTTCAGAACCAAACATTAAACCAGATCATGTACCATTGCTGAAAGGCAAGTTGTAATTAAGAAAAGAATAACTTCACAAAGCTAAAACAAGTGGGGAAACCCTTAGGAAACACTAGCAATTACACACCAGAAACCATCAGCCTGGGAAACAGGTCAGCCATTTGCCGGGAAGACTCCAAGGGTAAACTGAGGCTTTCCCTTCACAGCTTGTCAATGTCTTGTGCTCGGTTAAAACACAGGGGGTGCTGTAACCTCCTGTGAAGGGTAAAGGCTTTCAATTACGTCTGAAAGAAAGGGTGTCATATTTGTTTTTATTTCTACCACTCTGGGAGATCATTTCTCATCTCATCTGCCTCAAGCAAGATTGTGTAAAACAATTTAAGTAGAGGCTCAGGGAGATCTCTGTCTCGTAACTCAGCCCCTACATCATGGTTTGGTCGCCATGAGACCCTGAAATTCCCTTGTTCATATAGAAATCTCTCTCGGAGATGTATCTATGACACCATGTTCTCTGTGTTACAGAGCTTTGAATTTTTTTTTTTTAAAGGAGCTTCTCTTTTCTTAAGAGAGCTTCTTGCCCTTCTGTGGCCCATTCCACTCTCCTGACACTCTGGAATAACCACCCAACTCTGCAGAAAAGAATTCTCGCCAAGGTGTTTTTGCATTGGAGAATTTTTTTTTTTTTTTGGTCATTATATGTCCAAGTCTTATCTACACTGATGATAAAATGTCTTTATTTGGAGATCTCTAGGAGAGAGTATTGTTTTCTTTTTGGTCGGGAGGAGGGAAGGGTGAAAATATTTCTCTTTGGAGTCTCAGACCAAAACCTCAACCTCAGGTCTCAGCATTTTTCCCAGGGATGGGTGGCTAATCTGAGACCCTCTTGCCTCCACTTCAACTCCGAGGTAAAGTCGGTCCAGCCTGGAGACCAGTGTGCACACTCCTCGCCAGCCTGCACAGGCAAGCCTAGCGTTTGTGCTTTTCAGTCCCTCCCCAAGGTACCACCCCCCTACCCCCCGCCCCCTTCATTTAACTCATCACCTTCCCACTAATGTGATCACGGAGAATGTGACCTTGTGCTTAATTCCACCATCACCTGGAGGAACGGACCCCCTTCCCAGCCTGATGGTCTCGGGTTTTTCCTTCATTTGATCACCTTGTAACATAAGCCCTGGAAAAGAAAGCCAGATGTAGCTATACTGCTTTTCACAAGTTAGGAAAAATACCCTATAAATTGGCCTTTTGTTCTTCACACGATTTCAGTTTCTTTGCACGAAATTACATAAACCCACACAAATGAGTTGAGGAGTTCAAAGCTGCCAGGCCATGTGATACTAGTAAGAAAATCCAGCTCCACACGGCAGTGAAGTGTCTCTGTTTCAGCGGCTACTATTTCTAAGAACCTTTCCAAAATTCCTGATCAGGGTATTAGGACGTGAGAAATGATCTCTAAATGGGGTGGGCCTAAATGGAAAAGTGTGGCTTGCATTAAATGGAATGTGTCGTGTAAGATACGATTTCCCCTCACTTCCATCCCCATCCCCCATCTTTAAAACTGCCAAGTCTACCTTAGAATCACTTTCTCAGAAAGTGATCTGGCAGACCTGACATTCTGCAACATTTCCACATTTAACAGTATCGTAGTGCTAGTGCAGATTAAAGAGAACTTTTATAAACCAAAAATAGCTGGCCAATAAAAGTTAGTGGTTAGTAATTTGCTTGGTGAAAGTTTTTCTCCCTAACTAACTCCCCAAAGAGAGTTATTGGGGTCAACAAAGGCTTTGAACATTCAAAATAAAAATAACCGGAAGAGAAGTTTTCCAAGTCATTTTCTCAGACGCAAAACTCAGGAAGTATGCCCGCGTTCACAAAACCGCTCTTTCCATCTGCGACAAAGGAAGCCTCTCAGCCCGCCCTCGATTTTTTCTATGCATTTTGCAGAAGCCCACGGAGGTGTCTGATGGAGACTAAGGCCGTCCGGATTTCCAGTCCATGTCCCACGGGGCTGGTGGTGCTGTCCCCGCAGAGGAGGCAGGCTTGCTAAGACAGCCCCGGCAAAATGCCAGGTGGCAGCACGCCATCCTTTTGAAAGGCAACAAGGAGATCACAGCTGGGAGTCATCTAAGGAGGCCACGGAGGCCACAGGGGCGGGTAGGGACAGGGGGGTGCCTGGGGCAGGAATGGCTCTGCTGCAAAGGTCCACCTTCTTTGCCAGCACCGATTAGTGGCTCTCGTTTCCTCAACTGCCCAGCTTTCCAAACCTTCCTTGGAGAGGGGGTGGAGAAGAGATGGGGAGCCCCTATCCCAACAAGGCTCAGAGACACCTGCTGTTAGGAGCTGCTGGCCTTGCTTGGTTGATCTCTACAGCCAGGCATCCAGCTCCAAGCATCTCTATCTCTCTTCAAACTGTATCAGCCACACTGGCACTGAGCTACCTGGCAATCTTCCCGACTGGGGTGACAGGGGACAGACTGTCCCTGCCCTTTCCCCCTCTTGGGGTCTACTCTAAAGATCACCCAGGTGGCTGCTCAGAAAAGCTGAGAGAGAAGCTCCATCCTCCCTATGCACCTTCACAAGGCAGCCCAAAGAGCCTTCTTGAACCCCACGCTCGGTCAGTAGCAGTCCGAGTCCTCATTTTTGGAGTCCACCTTCATGCACAAAGTGAGGGCATGACGGTGCTCAGGGCAAGCTACCTCAGGAAGCACCACACTGGTATGCGGATTATTTCGAGCTGAAGACAATAAGGACTCAGAGAACAAAGGAAGAATATTTGAGTTTCCCCTCCCAAACTGCCTAAAGAATTTAAAACAAAAGATCTGTTTCAGGAAGGAGTTATTATCATGACTGCTATAAAGATAATG